TAATCTCGATCATGAAAATTTCCATTTCGAAATTTATATTTTTATTTATATGTATATAAGTTTTTAGGTTGGATATTAATTCTATAACAATTAATTTTTTTAATATAGATTAATGTATTTTAATAGACAGTTATTCTTTATATCGTATCGCACATAAAATTATAAATAGAATAGTATTCTTGATTTTGATAAAAATTGTAAATTGTTTAACAGAGTTAAACATGATAAAAAAATCATGTTTTAAATATATTTTAAACATGTTTCTTTTTTATAATGTTTAAAGTATATATGAAGCATTAAAAACGTGTTTTAAAAACATAATATTTTGTTCTTTGTAAAAAAAAAACATCTTTTGCCAATCCTGTTATTTAATATTGTTAAAACTGAATTAGTTAAATTGATTGTAGAATTTTCGATTAGTCGAAACTAAATTATTATAACTTTCCGTAGTTTTAGGTAAATAAATCATTTTGCGCGAAATTGAGCGACCGTTGGACGGCTGCCGGAACAGTTTGACGAAATTACGCTCACTTTTAGCGCTTCTGGAACTCAAGGTTTCGGAGCGTAAAGCTCGAAACTCTCGGCTCGTGCACGCCACAATGCAATCGCGCATCGTCTCGCAGTTCCGTCGTCGTGTGGTAATATCGTAGAATCGAATTATGCGGCGTCGGTCGCCGCGGGAGATGGGAATTAATAGTTTCGGTCGGCGAGGAGAAAAGCTACGCGTCGACGCGGCGATGAGGGAATAGGGACGCCGGCGATGTTCGCCGATGGGACCGGGTATGGATATTGGGCAGTGGGCTGGCAGACTTGCCTAGCAATAAATCAGACCCGTCCCGCGGTAATATACTGCTCGGTCAGCCTGTTTAACCGTAATAAAGCGCATTGCTCCCAAAGCGACTGGAAATCGAGAAGTCTCGCAAGACACGATTTTTGGCGTTTCAGTAAACTCCGCGAATCGATCGCGACGTCGCATTCCGGAATATATTTCGCGTAAATGTAAATTTTGAAAGAATTTTGTTGCATAAGGTTAATCTCCTGAAGGTACTGGAACAAAAATAAGTTGCAAATGCTTTCAATAAAGATTAAATTAGTGCAAAAATTTTTGGAAATTTTTGAATTATCAAATAATCCAATTTAAAAAAAAAGCAGCATTTAAATGAAAATTAACAAACTCATAAATGACACAAAATTGTTTCTATAAAAATACAATATGCAAATATATGTATGTATACAAATAGTACGAAACATTTTGCATTAAAATCCTTGTGTTAAAAACACGATCTGACTTAAAACTTGTGTTAACTTTTTTATATAGCCAAATGTTAATTTAACATGTCATGATTATTTAAATATTTTGTTCTAAATTGATATTTAATATTTCTTAGTTTAAAAGTATTGTACAATTTTATGAATAAGTAAACAAGTAACATAAAAAAATAACAATTACAAATGTTAATTCTAAAATAAATAAATAAAAGATGAATATACGTGTTAATTGAAGATATTATAACGTTAATTATATTTCAAGAAATACATTCCTATTATTTATATCCAGATTGTTTAGATCAAATTTTACATAAGGTTTGTGTTGTATTTTAATATATTCATCTTTTATAAAATTAATAGAAAGATTCAAGTGAAGCATTTGGGATTTAATTTTGTAATTAATTATCTTAGAATTTATGTTTTAAGACTACATTGTTTTTATATTATTTGTAAATAATAATAATTATTTATTTCATAAGTTGTGTTATCTTAACACGAAGAAATATTAAATATCAATTTAACACAAACTTTTCAACTATACAATAATATCTGTGTGGCTAGTCGTTTTCTCGTAACGTTTAAAAGTCATTTGTAATGTTTAAAAAGTTAAGTAAGGTTTTCTGCGCTATAAAGATTTTTAAATTATGAATCTTGTCACGTAGATATGATTTTGTAAGAAAGACTTAAAATTTGTTGAAGATGTATAGCGGTTAAGACGCGATTAAGCTTGAAAGTATGTGAGGAAAAATCGCCGAGACTTTCCAAAATTGCAGAACGTCGCGCCGGACTGTCTCGAGGATGAAGTAGAAAGTTTCTTTTTGAGCAGGCGATGTAATATCTTTTCCACTTCGATTTGATAGCAATCGAGGGAAAACAAACGCTTGCTCAAGAGGATAATAAAAAAGATAATGCAATTATTACTTTCTCGTTAACAAAAATAGTTGCTTTTAGAAATTAATAATGAGTTACGATAACGAGTTGTTTGTTTCTTATAAAAAGGCGGTAATGCGTTGCTTTTAGTGCAAAGTTCCCAACTCTGAATAAGTATACAGGATATTTAGAGATAAATAATATCTCTAAATTCCCGTGGATATATGGAATACCAGACATGACACTTTATGCTAAAATAAATAATTTTTTCTTGTTGCTCAATATTATTTCTTCACGACAGAGTGAATGTGGTGCTGATACATTCAAATACAACATATGATCTTTGATCTGACGAAACAATAAAACGCTCGCCTAAGGGGAGAAAGATGTTTACATCAAGGATGTGTTACATCATTGACTACAAGCATCTCCATGTTCGCTCCGGATCAATTGGGACAATTTGACGAGCGACCGGTCGGCGATACGGCGCCATTGCCCAGTTTCGGAGTACCTATCCCGGTGCGTAATGCCGCATAACCGTTCTGCATTACATACGGGTGTAGGATCGGTATGCGAGTGCAACCTCCCCGCGTCCATGCTTGGGCGCGCGCGCGCGTGCGGGCGTAAGCCATCATCCACCCTCCGAGAGGTAGGGGCGGCATGTATTTCGCGGGGTGAATAGCCGACGCGGTATGTTCCTGGCTCGACGCCAGGCCGGGGTAACTATCAGCGCTACCACATTAATAGAGTTTTATTGTTATTTACGGCAAGGGTAGGTCGCCCAACTCCCCTCCCCCCCCCCCCCCCCCCCCCCCCCCCCCCCCCCC